AAAATTAAAACTATATTTTATTAAAAAAATTGTTTACTATAAGTTCAATCACCATACAATAAAAACAAATAAAGAACTAAACTAGTAATTTCACATCTTTTTTTTTCTATAAATTATTAACCAAGTTTTCAAAATCAATCTTCTTAACCAATACTCTTTCAATGGATAAGATATCCAAATAAGATTTTATCGGAAAAAAAGAGAATAACTCACCTCGTCAAAGATAATTCACCAGAAGAAACGTAAACTGAAAAATTATGTCACTGTGAAATTTTCAATTTTAGCATTTTTTATCTAATATAACAGAAAATAAAACAAATTTTTATTTATACCTTAATATTTTAACAATAAATTATTGTTTCTAACGTTAAAAAGTAAAATAAAGAAGCTCATGTTTCTATTGTGGATCTACATTTTGTTTATCTCCAAACAATTAACGTCTTATTAATGTTATAACTAAAAAAAAAATTGATGCCCTTAAACTTAAAAAAAAAAAATTTGATGCCCTAAGCAAATGTTTAACAAATTTATACTATGTCACGGCTCTGCCAAGTGTATGAACTGTGCATTGACTAAATGACCTCTAAAGACTGAGAGATGCAGCGATAACAACTTACTCGTAATAATAGTAGACGTGTTTCTTGGATTTAATACAAAAGAATTTGACGACGATAAGATAAAAAGCTAAATTTGTTTCACAAAATGTTTGTCTTCTATTCAGAGCAAACAAAGTATTTTTGTCAAAAGATTATGCGAGTGAATACAGAGGGCTAATAAGATAGTGGGCCATGATTACGGGCTAATTCTTATTTGTTTTATCAGCGTCTCTATACGCACCGTTTCACAACCAAACTCTTATCCCCCTCGAAAAACCTCACTGATTCTCTCACTCTTCTTCTCCAATGGCGTTCACGTTTCTCTCTCCTAACCCAGTCTTTCTCTCTCTAGGTGGAACCACCTCTTCCTTCTCCTACAAACCTCTTCTCTTACCATTCTCCCGAAATTCCCGTAATCTTCCGATATCAGCTGGACCTGCTCGTCGGAATTCTTACCCGAACCCTGCAGATGACGATCCACCTGAAGCACCAGAGGATTCAATGCACGGAGTATCCAAGTTTCAACAGATTCAACGTCAAGCAGCTCGTGCTCGGAAGCTAGAAGAAGAAGATTTCGAGAAGAATCGGAATACTTATCTCTCCGCAATCGCCGATGCGGAGGACGCGCCGGAGACGGGAAGTGATGACGTAGAATCCAGTGGAGATCTGTTCTCAGACATCGATAGAGCTATATCGATGAAACGTAGCGAGTTCGTTAAGCAAGGATTGCTTAAACCTAATCCTCCCAAATCGGCGTCGTCT